TGGCACGGAATGTCCCTTTGGTTAGTTTGGGTCAGCTGGCCTGGTTGTGTCCCCTCCCAGGATCTTGCCCACGTTCGTGGGGGGGAAGGGGGGTGGGGTGGGGATGGGGTAGAGGAATTTTGAGAGACAGCGCTGATGCTGTGCCAGCACTGCTCAACAGTAGCCAAAACACTGGTGTGTTATTAACACCCTTCCAGCCACCACTGCAAAACACAGCACTGTGAGGGCTGCTGTGAGAAAATGAACTCTATCTCAGCCAGACCCAATACAGAGTCAGTAACAGTTTTGCTTTTACATTTCAAAACTGCATACCAAATAGTTATTTCAGGGTCATAGTATGTATAAACCTTTCAATTAATCACCTTTCAATTAATCACAGGCTGTCATAAGGGTACAGTCTATTCCACTTTAAAGAGCTACACAAGCATTTAAGACACAATCATATTCTGTAGGACAGGGGTGGGGTAAATAATTTAGTAATGACTTCAGCGTTTCTCTTGTAAAACAGTGTCTCATCATCTGTATTTTGTCTAAAATTACTTCTAGAAGAAAACCTTTCAGTGAAAAAAAAACCCTTTGCATAGGGTCAAATAGATACTTGCACTGTGACATAGTTTATGGGTGTGACAGTTCATTCTAACCCTCCTCATTTTTTCTAGACAGGACATCCTTATATCCATATAATGTCACCACTCTTTCCAGATCTTCAAATCTTAGAGATTTGTTGAAGAAAGGATTCTGAGCTATAGATCATGTCTATATCATAATAGTATATTATTTAAAAGGTCTTGCCCTTTGAGGAGACAATCTCAGTGATTGTTTGATTATGACTAAGCTCTTCTTTCATTACAATCTTTCACTTTTAGCAACAGTCAGAACTTGTAATTCCAAATGCCTTTTAAAGGTTTCACACAAGGCAGAGTTCCCAGTAAGTTATAAAGAACTAAATCAGATTTAAGAATATATAAAATGTATTAAAGTTGTATAATACAGTCTTTATGGATAAAAGTGCTTGTGTACGATTAGGTTTGTTTTTTGCTTTGATATCTTTCTCTAGACACTTTCTATTGTAATTAAAAAGTCATGGAACCCCAATGAAGTTCCCGCTGACTGGATGTCTCAGGTTAAAGACAGTGTTAAAGGAGGTAGGACCTTCTTTGGATTTATTGTCAATTTAAAAATAAATTATGAGACTTATGAGGAAGCAGTAGAAACGAAATAACAGTTTTTAATAAAAAACAAAGGGCAAAACAAAACAAAAGCAACACCAAGGGAGGAAAATATATCCCCCAGCAAATCACTCTGTTCACTTCCGTTTTGCCGAGCCGGCAGAGCAGTTTCGCTGCAGCCACATGGCCCCGGCAGTGGCATCTGACACAGTGGCAGCGGCGAGCAGGGGAATCTGGCTGTGCCAATTCCAGATGCCACGGCGGCGGGCAGGTGGCTCTGGCTCTGTCTGCGATGTGTCGGTGCCCCATCGGGGCGGAGGGGGAGCAGGCGGGAGGCGGCAGCAGTGGCAGGAAGGAACTCCGGTGCACAGTGCCAGTGCCAGCGCCGGCGGGGCGCGTACTTCTCTTCGAGCGAGGGCTGCGGTCAGAGCAGTGGCTGGGTGGCTCCAGGGGTATCCCGGCGGCGCGGGAGGTGTAGTCTGGGAGCCGCACGGGCGACAGAGGAATGGCAGAGAGCGGCGGGCGGTGGCTGTGGGTCTGCGGCGTGGGGGGTGACCTCCGGGAGCCAAAAATGGAAATGTAGGGACTTAAAGAGGATAGTTGCCTGTCTCAGTTACTGTTTAGGCCACAGAAGGACTTTGCCATGAGATAAGCACAGCAGGGAGTGACAGGATGCCACGAACTCCAGGCCTGGTGAAGGCAAGATCTGATTGGCACATCCTGGGTAATACATCCAGACAAAAATACGCACAGTGGTGAACTGTGTGCAGAAACAACTGCTAGTACGTGTATCACTGGTCAAAAAAAGATCACCCCAAATTATGGGACATCTGTGACCACCAACAATTGAAGCTCCCCCCCCCTCCCCACATATACCTCAGGGCATACTGCAACTTGGATTGTAAAATAAGCCACCACAGTGGGAATTTGAGATAAGGTAAAGATGGTACTATTGTCCAGGTGTTATCTCAGACCTAGAGTGAGGTTAACAAAGCTTTGGGACAAGAATGTATCACTGATAATGGACACAAAGACTTCAGAATTTATGGGCCACAAGAAAAGCCAGCTCAGCAATTCTGTTGAAATCAACTTGGTGTAAAGGTAATTCCATCGGGGGACATCACAACCCACCAACTCCAGAAACCCATTGACTCAAAAGAACAAAAAGGCTCAGCAGATGGACTGATTAGCATTAAAAGACTTTGTAGCCAATGAGCATTAATTCCTTTGTTAGCTAAAATCTATAAATAGTGAAAATTTTTGAACAACCTTGGGACATCCACCACTGAGAAATGTGGGGTGAAGAAGGACCAATGGGATGCGACTGGATCCACAGCTGGTGGCTGTCTTTTCTCTCTCTCTCTCTCCCCCCCTCCCCCCTCTCTTTTCTATTTCGTCATCTATCTCACATTCATAGTTAAATAAAATCTGTATTATTGACCGGCATATAATGTCGTTTGCACCTTAATTCGGACAGAAGCAACTCTCAATAATCGGATCTTAACAGGAAGTCAGTGGCTTCTTGTGTACTTGTCAGCAGTAGACATTAGCTAAGTATGTGGCTTCCCATGTGTCAGAATAGGAGATGATTTCCTTCTTCTACAGCACAGTTTGTTAAGTATACTTCGTTAGCTGCTTATTATTGCTGTTATGAATAACTCTACTGTTACATTCTGTGGCCCACACTAGTTTAGTTATATTATGGTAATGACAAAAAGTCATCCAGACAAGTTATTGAGGTATTAGTTGGACAATACTGCGATACATTTAAGGCAGCCTGCAAGCAGGAGCAATAACAGTGGTCATAATCAGTATTCCTGTTTAGATAAATTTATAGTTAAAATACATTCAGTAATTGACTTTTTATTTTGCATGAAGTTTGAGAAATCTGTTGCTATTGATGTCCTTAAAAATACACATTTAAAGATTGTGTTTTAAATAGTACAAATGTGCTTTTCAATGTAAATCACCTATATGCATAGTTTAGATGCCTGACAAAAATTAGACGTTTTTAGTTTAGCTTTATGTGTGTATGTACTTTGTATTTTAGGTGTGATGTAAATTTTACCTTTGAATTTAACCTTAAGTAAGGAATAACTGGAAATTGCAATTTGTATTTCATATACAAAGGCATAGAAAGATACACATATGGAGATATGCACAGACAGCAACATACTTAGAAATTAGAATCTTTGAATGTTCTGTGGAGTAAAATGAAAACCAGATTGTGTAGTATAGCCTGGATGTCATAATACTCAGTAAAGATATGAAAAAGCTAGTACTTTATTTTGTTTGTTTTTTTCTTTCTTTTTTTTTTCAAAAGGTTTTTTTCTAAATGATAAAGTTGCATTTCTATCAAGATTTCATACTAAAAATTTTAATTACCTCAACTTTGAAATATTATAAGTGAAAAAATATCATCATATGTGCCCTTTTGTATATTTTTTTCAAGTTGTTGCAAATGTGCCTTCATTGTATTTTATAGAACCTAACACAATGCAGTCTAGGGTAAAAGTTAATGACTTTTTGTGTCACCTAAAGAAATTTAAAACTATGATCTTACTTTTCCCTCAGGCATTTTAAGACTTTTTAATAAAAGTGGATTGCAGTTTTTCATTTTGTTATTAAAGCACCTGTAGATGAAACATCTAACTTTCTTATGTTGCCTTGGGAATTGTGTCTGTAACACATTTCCAAAAGTTGGGTTTAATGTATTGAGCTATCTAAATTGCTTTGTAAATATCACACCAGATACTGTGTGACAAGGAGACAGAAAAAACCCACATATATACATATTTTTCACTGAAAAATACTTTAGTGTCTTGATATTTATTTCTTCTGTGAGAACAATATTGAACAACTCCTTAATTGATATTTACCTTATTTCTCATTTTGGAAGTTATTTATGTTCATGGGTCAATGACTGGTTGTCAGTCAACTTAGCTCTTACACATCTTCACTGTATTAAAAATTGACAGTTCTTTATATGAAAGTGGTGAGGCAAATAAATCATGGGCCTTTTAATTAAAATAAGATAGAAACATAGACTACATATTAAACTCTATTAGCAATTATGCAACATATTCCTACTGATTGTTTCCCTTACTGATAGCAATAGACTTGATTGCTGTAGTAGTATTTTAAATATTAGAAGACTTTTGATTTGTTTTTCATTTGTGTAGAAAGTTACTTGGAGGGAATGACCAGGCCAAAACCCTCTTGAAAGAAGAGGGATATTTCACCTTAACATGAGAAGCAATGTGTACCTCTTCAAGGAGAAAAATTTTGTGGGACATAAGCAAAAGATAGGGAAAAGTGAGAGTGATGGACTGAAAGGTCAGTAATGTCTTAAACATTATCAAAATCATAGAAAGACTTTTTGTCAAACTGCAAGGAAGCAACTGCCTGTCTGTGATCACCAAAGCCTGACTGGAATTTGGACTGTGAAGGGGGACTTGAGATAAGACTATTATCTAATAATCTCAGATCTGAGAAAAAGTAAACAAGTCTCAGGAAAGAAGAATGTATCTGGGTTAAGAATCAGCCCTAGCTGGGCTCAGTGCGTGGTGGAGGAGAAGGGTTCTGGGTGTGTGATGGCGAAATGTCTCCACACCAAACTGAAGAAGTAAATCCCCCCACACACACTCCGAGAAGACCACATACTCATGTGACATTCTTGTGAGAGGCAGCTGAGAATGGGTCACAAAACAACAAGGACCCCCAAAGTACCCCCCTGATTCATTCCTGAGGCCTTCTACCACAAGAGGATTGATCCAAGTGAAGTAACAAATCCAGAACCTGTCACAAGAGAGTGCAAAACTTCCCCCCCAGGCCCAGGGGAGGTGCATTGGCATCTCCTGAACGTACATTAATCCACTGGACTCTGTGGTTTGTGGGACCCTCACCACCAAGAAGACCAGAAGAACCAGACTGACAGGACAACTGCCAAGTTACACGGAGTGGTGATATGTTTTCTATTTTAATTTCTCTATATCACTTTCTTTCTTCACCCCCACTGCCACCCCTTTTTCCTATTTCTTTCTCTCTCTCTGTCTCACGTTTAGCATTAAATAAAACCCATACTATTGACTTTGACATCTGATCTCGTTTGCACCTTAATTTGGGTAGAGACATTTCTAATAATTTTAATAACCAGATCATAACAGTGAGTCACAGCTCTGAACCAGGGAGCATACTCGTTATGTAGAGGTCAAACATCTTCAGCTAGTAAAAGGGGGCATAAACAGAAGCTTTCTAGGGAATAGGGAGGTCTTTCCAGAGCTTGCAACTGCTCAGCTGTCCTCTGAGCTGTTTGGAACTCAATCTGGAAAAGAGAAATCATGTTGCACAGACACAGTGGGCATGGCTAGACACTTCAAGTTTTCATTATCTGAAAAGCTTATAATCTAACAAAATGTGACTCCTTGACTCTTAGGCCTCTTGATTTTCATTGAGGAATTTCTTTAAGGCAGAACCATGCCAAAGCTTTGCCTGCTTAGGTTTTCTCCAACAGATCCTTTTCTTGATGCCTTTGAGACCAGAGCTTGTGATCAGCCCAAATGTCTTCAGGCTATAATAGTAATTTCTTCCAATTCTTCCATGATTTCTTCTGCTAAGCAGTTTAGGAAACTGTTAGGGGAGAAAAAAATGCTAGTTTACTGTTTAACTTTTCAGGAGGTATAAACATAGCCCATTAATGATCAACAACAGCTCTTGGTGTTCAACAATATGTGGAGCTTTGAATTTATGGATACCCAGTCAATCAAAATTAGGTTTTCATCAGCTTTTTGGACCAGTAGTCTTTAATAAACTAAATTTCTGTGTTGAAATAAGAAACCTATTGCAACAGGAAAGGTTGTCACAATATTTACAGAAAGAATTCTGTGATAAGACTTTCACTGAGAGCTAGAATCAAAGAAAAACAACTATATGATCTTTCTTCAGGTCATAATTTTTGTTAGTCTAGCAAGCCTAAAATGCTAACAAACATATAACTAAAAATCAAAAGCATAATACTGATGGTTGGTTTAACTAACACAAGGTAACACAAGAAAAAACCCCTTAATTTTCAGAAGCAAATTAAGATGTAAATTTTAAATATATAAGTAATTGAATTGATGATTTTTTCCCTACTAAAATTCACACTTTCTTGTTCCTTTTGCTTGGGGAGACCTTGCAAGGTAAGTAGCTTCATTTTTTTTTCAGTATGTTTAATTATTAATATGTAATCATTTTAAATTAATAAATCTTTTTTTTTTTCTTTTTAACCAAACACCATCTTATAATATTTGGGAGTTATACAAATAAGTTTCTAATTGTGTGATCATGCTCTTGTAAGATATTTCAATAAAAAGATTTTGGAATCAGACAGTGTCTCAATTTTCACTTCAAATCTATACTCCATATGCAAACAGTGATGAACCCTGATATCCCACTGCCAATGTCCTATCCTAGGCCTACTTAAGCTAACCCACACCTGGACCTTAGTATTGAAAAACACATCTTCTCTTATAACTCATTTATCCACAGTGTAAACCCTAAACTCTTGGGTTTTGCTGATATTTGCAACTGATTTTCTGCTGATATACACAAGTTTGAATGTTGTATTATTAGCTTACTGAATTGAAGCTGCTGTTGATGGGGAAAGCTTTGAAAGCTATGATGATTTCATTGTCTTGCCTATACACATACATATCTGGAGCACTTTCACATATCACAATAAAGGCAGCAATAAAGTAAGATTGGAAAAAAATGTTAATCTTACTATGCTTTAATTTATCTCCTCATGCTGGCACCATAACACAAAAATGTCCTTTTTCTTTGGCTGTGTTACAGGTCTGCTAGACAACTTTGGTCAAGTCAGTTTTCTTCTTTGGCTCCTGTTCCCCTAGCCAATGCAGATAATGATCCTGACCTCTTTTCTAAAATGCTTTGAGAACCTTGGGTGAAAAGTTCTCCCTAAAAGCATAGTAGTTTTATTATTATATCCATTATATAGTTACACTATTCAAGGTCAATAGACTTATATAGCTGAACAAAAATGAGATCATATGACAATGCGGTAATTGCACTCAAAAGTACCCAATTGAATGTTTAGTCCAAATGAATCCATATTTAGTATGGTTTCATATATTGTTGTTGAAAATTTGATGCACTGAATCTTGAACTTCCTTTGATTACTATTCTGCAGTGAGACTTTCTCAAACTTTTTAATTCATTGGTTGCTGCCCCCAAGGGATTAATACGGATTGGATAAGAAAGGGATGACATCAACTGCATATAATGAAATTCTATCCAGGATGTCCAATATCTTTACACCTTCAGCTCTGTTATTGTGTTGGATTCTTTGACTCATCTTTCCCAGAATTATGGTAAAAAGGGAGGGCAAAAAGGGGCACCATTGCCTTTTGCTGCTAGAGAAAGTAAAGACTTCTGAGTGGTATCCATTATTCCTTACTGTAGGCTCCAATACAATGTCTTTAGTTAAGAAAGTTTTAGACTATTATGTGAGACTCTCAAAACTTTCATCAAATAGGTTCCTTTCAGCCAATCAAATGGTCCTTCAGCATACAATGGTAATAAATATATACCTCCTCTTGCTATTTCTATTTTACAATGATCTCTAAGTTGAAATTTGTGCATTTTTCCAACCACTATCATGGCACCTTACTGTTATATCCTCATTGATCCTTCACTCTTCCAGTTGCTGTCATTGCTCTACTATTCAAAACACATACTGTCTATTGTCTTACTTTAGAAAGTTAATTTCTTTGGTACTGGACAAGATCCAGGAAAGCTGTCAAGTAAAAACTTCAAGATAGGTCAGCAACTGTCTAGTGCCAGGTTGATGTCCTGAGCTGAGGTTTAAGAACAATGTTTAGTCCTTGGGATTGAGTTTCCAAACAGCTACTTCCGTTCAACTCGAACATGTGGTTCAGTCGTGACAATGTAGGAAAGAGGTAAGGTAACTAAGCCAATGTTCTCGGTCTAAGTTCTAAAGGCATCTTCTTCACATCCTGTCTATAATTTTCCTCTACAAACAAAATATTCACCTTTTAAATATTTCCCTTAAAAAAGAACATATTACACTAAGGTCTCTTTTTAAATCACGGAGTTTTATTCTTTTCTATTTGTTAGATTTGGGGTTTATTTTACTTTTCTGTCTTCTGGAGTATAAACATAAGATAAAGGTGAGAAGCTGTCCAAACTTATAAACAATTAGAAATAAGGTGAATCAATAATGAAAATTAGTGTTATACTTTACAAACTGTACAAAAATTGAGAGGGTGTTGTTTTGGTCCACTACCTCAGTGCCAGGCTGTTTGAAAGGTTCTGCTGGGTTTGGCTACAGTAGAGTTAATTTTCTTCACAATGGCTAGTATGGAGCTACATTTTGGATTTGTGCTGAACACAGGGTTGATAATATAAGGATGTTTTTGTTATTGTTGAGCAGTGCTTACACAGAGCCATGACCTTTTTTACTTTTTACACCTTCCCACCAACAAGCGGGCTGATGGTTTATGGGAAGCTGGGAGGAGAGACAGCCAGGACAAGTGACTCAAAATGACTAAAGGGTTATTCCATACTATATGACATCATGCTCAGTATATAAAGTGGGGGGAAGAAAGAGGAAGAGGGGGAAGATTTGGACTAATGTCATTTGTCTGCCCAAGTAACCACTACATGTGATGGAGCCCTGCTTTCCTGGAGATGGCTGAACACCTATCTGCCAATGGGAAGCAGTGAACTACTTCCTTGTTTTGCTTTTCTTGTGTATGTGGCTTTTGCTTTCCCTATTAAACCCATGAGCTTTCCAGCTTTTACTTTTTTGATTGTCTCCCCAATCCTGCTGCTAAGGAAGTGAGCGAGTGGCTGTGTGGGCCTTGGTTGTTGTCTGAGGTTAAACCACCAAAAAGATGAAGTTGGTTTACAGTGAATAAATATGTTTTACAATGGATTTTGTGTACTTTATTAAAATGAAAATGAACATGGTTTTCCGTGATGTTACTGGCAATTGTAACTGCAAAATTATTTGACTACATAATTGTTGGCTTTGCAAATGAATCACCTTGGCAGTCTGTAATACTTTCAGTTTATTCTGCTGCTGGAGGTTACATAGTTTATTTTAAATATAAGTGGTTTTCAAGAAAACGAGGCTTTGGTCATTTTGTATGCAAAAAGGCATAGTAGTGCTTGATAAATTAAGAACCCAAGCCATCAACTCATACTCATACTCAGAAGAGCTGTTCTTAACTACTCTTTGAATTCCAATAAATTACTTGTTTCAGCAGTCTGTACTAGAATTCAGGCCTTATAAAATATTAGGAGAAAAGAACACCCAAAACAAACCCGAAATGAAAACTCACCTAATCCCATTTTATTATCTTTATTTTATGATTCTTTAGTTCCTTTTTTCTCTTACAGGTTTGCTTCCAAGGATACACTCCCAACAAGTGGAGGTGAAGAGTTTTGCATTACGATGAACCAAGTAGCTGGACTCTAAGTGGGTAGTGGAAAGAGTAGAGAAAAAGTGTTCCTGGTGAATATTCAGGTATTCAGCTACCAGCTGAGAATCCATCAGTTGTTGTTTTGCTCATAATTCTACTACAATGGCAAATCAGAAGCAACTTGATCCAAAATTGCAAAATATCGACATGGAAGAAAAGATTAAAAAGAAACAAACAAACCCCTCTACTTTTCCAGTTCAAACAGTAGAGAAACAGATTACTAGGGAAGGGAGAATACACTTTGACATTTCTGCTTATGAATTATACTGCTGTGTCATTTAGTGAATAATTAGCCCTACAATCTTTTACTGTTCTTCAAGAGTATAATTTGTCATTTATCAAATAAATTATATTGAACTGTGTACCTCTTTCAGATGCTGTGTTAAACTGCTATATACTTTGATTATCAAAGACGATT